TTATTCACGAAGTGCAGATGACACTCGATGTAGCAGAGCATTAAATATTGAGCATTTCCACCATCCGACCCAACAGCGGGTGATGTGCACAAATCACAAACTTGATTCTTCCCCCCATCCAATCACGACCAAAGCTGCTGGGTCCCGAGCCACGTCATTGCCAAAATGAGCACCACATCAATAATTTGGCGCCACAGGACGTACGCAAGGGAAACAAAGAGAATTCACACTCAGTTATTTCTAGGTCGTATTATGTAGCTCGAAGAACGTAGAATATCCATGCTTAGTCTGTGCGTGACGATACTGATCTAAACTTCAAGCGTTAAAGAAATATTACTTTTAATAGTCAAAGGAGAAATTAATTTTTTTAACATTTAAGTAAAGAGGAAAATGACAAAACAAAATCTACTGATAATTTCCCGACGACCCCTTAATAATAGTTTCTCGTTCAAACCCCGGACACACGTGGAATCTCTTGCACCTGGCAAATTGCCGTAAAGTACCAAAATGCTCATGCCCTATATATATATATATATATATACGTATAGCCCTATTTATGTTTTCCATTTGCAACTCTGGTATAACAATGGCCATAAATTTTTGTTCAAATACATGTGCCTAGATGTCTATCAGTATTTAAATGTATGCATTTCAAGCAAAGTGTTGATACACTTCAAAAGTACAGTAAAACGCCAAATTACAAAAAAGAAAAAAAAACTTAATAATCAGTAAATATGCATCAAAATTCACGGCAAAATTTTAACATGAACTTACCTTAGTTTTTTTTATTAGCGATGAATTCATCCTAAAAATCATGAATGATAAATACTTTCAAATATCATCAAGGAAAGTTAGTTTATATAATTTATAGTGAGCATTGCTATGCTAAGAACTGACAAACAAAATAATTAGATTTCTAGTATGAGTTTTGGAGAAGCTGAGGTAAATATGTCTCAAATTTAAGATTTAGTGTTTTGTAAGCATGTATACATATTTTGTAAGCAAGTATACATCTGTTTCATCTTTCCCTTGCTTTCGGTTTAACACCACAAGTACTTAGCTCTTAATAGCTACTTAATTCTTCCAAATGTAATGGCAAGCGATAACGTTACATTCTCATAAATGCTGTCATTTAAAACACCTCTTCCCATATATCAATTTTTAAGCATTGCATCAAAGATTGCATATTGTCACTAACAGGATAGCGCATTGCATTAATTTTAGCTCTAGGTAGGTATATAAAAGATTTTTCTCAGATAATATTTACAACACCTTAAGCTCCACTTTCAGTTCACTGTAGAACTATGCTTACTACTGTCTGACTGGGTAAAACAGCCACAGAATTGATAGTTTCTTGCCAGCTTCGATTCCAGAAGAGGCTGTCCGAATGGATGTTTCTGAAGATTCCTCATGTATGACGTAAACAATTAGCAAGATTCCCTCGGAAGTTAGCGATGGAAGTCAACACGTTTTTAAGCAGATACCCATTGAACTCTTTGTCCTAACTAATCAACTAGCTAGTCAATCCTTGTGATACTTTCTATGCTTCAGAAAAGTCCAGCAGTAGAACTTTATGAAATAATCACTAGTTTTTTTCTTTATCTCCACAGCTTCTGCATATAATTTGAAATCAAAATTTTATAGCGAGGTCGTACGTTTACTTTCTTTGCAAACAAATTGATTTGGCCATTTTTTGATAGTATAAGATAGTGATTCGAAAAATTTTGTAAAAACTTTTAAAAACAATGTACTTAAATGATGTTTAAACCACAAGGTGTTCATCATTTAATCACCGGATAACAAGATAACACATAATTTTACAAATTAAAAGTAAATAATTTATACCTATATAATCTTCAGTTCAAGGAATTTCATTTATTCTAATATTGGAGGATGGCAACATAGACTTTTTTTTTTTTTTTTTTTTTTTTTTTTTTTTTTAAAGCAATGATGTACATTTTTATGTTGCAGGAAACGAAACCTCGGAAAACACTTTAGAGGCGATTCCAACATGAATTTAATAAAAATCCTCCAATGGAACAATCAACTAAAATTGGTCAAAACAGTTTCAAGAGGCCGCACATGTTTTGCATAAAGAAAACGGGGGTAGATCACGCGTTAGTCATGAAAATGTTTCCACCATTTGAGATGCGTTTGTGTGAAGTACCAATACATCCATTCGCCGCGCCAGCCTGCTAATAGGAATTTTCAGGTTGACTATCCATAAAGTTGCCCATGAATGCTTGAAACTTACTGTGCATAAAGCAGATATGGCAACAAATAGAACCTAACAATCGAGTTGTTCATAAGGAATTTTCCATAGACATTCTTGACTGTACTGGTAATGATGATCAAATCCTTCAGAAAATCATATTCAGTGACGAAGCAACGTTTCGTGTTTGAGGATAGGTTCACTGACATAACTGCAGGATTTGGGTGTCCGAAAACACGCATTTTGCAAAGGAAATTGAGCGAGATAATACTTTACGTTTGATGCTAATTCATAAAGAAGTGACTGGTCCATTCTTTCCTGGGAGTCATAAATTAATTCGGATGATTACTTCGATATACTGAGTTTTTGATACCGCAATTAAAACAAATGCAGCCAAACTTTTTTTCCCCTACAAATTTTAATATTCTATAGATATTTTTGGCTAAGCCTAGCGAAAACAGAATTCTCCCCCAATTGAGTACAAATGCTGATAGTCATATAACAGGCGGTACAGCAACTCAGCTGATGGTAAGTAGCTTCCCAACAGGATGGGGTCCCCTTTCATTGGGTTACACGTGTTCTTTGATGAAACATGCCCGTATCATTGGACTGAAAGAGATGGATTAATTTCATTTTCACTCATCGTTCTCCAGACGTCATACCACTACGCAAGGCCCACTGGTAGTTCGGTTCGAATCCCGTGAACGGGCTGGCTGCATGGGCGTTTTCCTGGTTTTTCCCTCATGTGTAACGTGTATACGATTCAGTTTCCCTTAGAAAACCCTCCGCGAAGATATCCCTCTTCTTAGAATATTCAAGAAAAAACACCATTGCTGAAATGGAAAACTGGATTTATACAGAATGGAAGTTTTGCTGGGAGTCGTATAACAAAAAACAAAAAAAAAGGGGTTAATGAAAAATATAAAGTTAAACAAGAAGATGAATATTATAAATAATATTGATATAAATCAGGTACTGACCAAACATGGGCTTATTTTAATCGGCTTATTTTAATTATTTCCCGGCTTATTTTAATCGGTTTCATCTACAGAATAATGATAAATGTATAATATGTGATAAGTTTTGGAACGCCAGGCACTTCGTCGATGAATGTACGCTTACTCGGAGTGTAAGAGAGAAATAAAGAAATAATTTTAAGGAAGATTTTAATAGGAACTATTCAAATTTGAAAGATTTTGAAGAAATAAATGAAGATTATAAATAGGAACAAAGAACTGAAATTCTGCACTGAGACTCACATTTTGGATTTTATGTGTTTTTTCTTATATTTTTTTTTTTTCTGGTCAGTCTCATTTTTTGATCATACGGCCGGCTAGGAGGATCGGGGCTGTGACCTTATAATGATGATAATGATCCCTAAGGCAGATAGCCCTCGAGGCTTTGCCATAATTAAATAAACGAAACTACTCCGCAAACACTTAATAACATCTGGAAGAAATCGAGAAGACTTTATATTCTCCGATATTTAAGGAGCAATAAATGGTGCTCATGTTGAAGTTTATTAATATAAAATTCTTTGAAGTGCTAAATAAAATACAGTCAATTTCCCCCATTTCTTATTGTGTATTATTTAAAACATATTTTTATACAGTAAATAAATTATGGACACCCTGTATATTAAAGTAATCTAAATCTACACCTTAATAATAAAGCGGCAATATATTAAAGTAAAACCAAATCATAAAAATATTTTAGAAGATGTGAAAAACAGTAGTGGAATGGAAACTTTCAAATCAGACTTTTAAGCTTGTAGAGACATTAGGTTAATTGGAAGACGGAGAGATGAAAAATTACCAATCGCCTTCGCCGGGAATCAAACCGCGGACCTCTGCACGGCCCAGCGTGCAGAACCACTACGCCACGAAGGCACGCGGGAGAAATACCTTATAAGCTTAAAATAGTTTTTTTACCAATGTTACACAAAATCGCCTGCTATGAATTCACATAGGAGAAATTTCACGTATACTATAAAATTTATTGGTCTAATTAAAATAATAATAATACGCAATAATATCAGAAGTGCCTAAAAACCTTTACACGAAGACTTTGACATGACTAAAAGATGACTGATTTTCATACCTTTAAAACTTTCTTTCGAAAAGTTATTGTCAGTTTTACACATTTTTTTTTTTTTTTTATTCTCTCTATAACGTAAATACAAGTCAATTCCCTTTACAAAGTTAAAGTTCTTCATGAAGGCATTTTCTACGTAGCTGCTGAAGGCCTACCAGAAGTCCAGCGCTAAAGCTGCTAAACAATTACAGTTCAGCCACGGCTCGCATTCCTACGAACGAGCTAGCGTTAGCGTTTTCATGGAGAAGTTACAGCTTACTACCACTGCGTTACTCCCGGACAATTTCTATCAATAGTTACCTCAAAGTGCATCTTTGTTTATTTGATTGTGGCAAAGCACACAAGAGCTCTCTGCCTAACGGAATGGATGACTTCCTAGAGAAATGTTAAGGAAAACTAGGCTCGTATTCAAGTTGCCCATGGGGAAAATTAAGAAAACGCCCATACATCCAGTCCGTTCGCTTGGAATCGAACTCAAGACGAAGTGCCACTGTTCAGCGTCTTTACTGCTCAGCCGCTGGTGAACCTGAATGCAAGTCAATTGAGTGCATCTTCATGATAGTATCTTCGGAAGAGATCTGACGAAGCCGCTTAGTGACATATTTCTGCGTCGCTGCCTTGTCCTGTAAATTTTATTTATCGCAAATAACAATTATAGCAACTCTGGAGTTTAAAAAATACATAATTTGCTTACCTCTTAAAGTTTTCATGTGAGCTACTGCCATGCGCAAGATAGTCAGTTTGTCTGGTTTCCGTGCCAAGGCACTACATGTTGGTACCATATCGGATAATTCGGTTATATAGGCAGTCATTTTATTACGCCGCCGTCTTTCGATTTCACTGTGGTTTTCTCTGAAATACAAAATAAATTTATCAATTACTAGATAATTACAATAATAAAGGCTTTTAAAATAAACTTATGAAAGGAGATAACAAAAATTAATACCGTTATGTATATATAAAACAGAAACGATTTTAACTTATGTACAGAACTTCTGAATAATAAACTGATATCCCGATCAATGTCAGCTCGATGTTATTCAGTTCTTTATTTTATTTCACACATTTATGCCTGTAACTTCCATTTAAAATTATCAGTAATTCAGAAACAGAACATTACTTTGCACATGTATCAGAAGTAGCTTTAAAGAAAAAATATGCAATCAAACGTAATATCTCTTGCTCTAAAACAGGGGTCCCCCGACCTTTTTGTCCCTAACAGCACATTCTAGAATATGTGTTGAAAGGCCACCATTTACTTTTTCAAGGTGAATTTATAGTTGGATAGAGTTAATAATACGTGCACATAAGAAAAGAGATCGGTGGCATTTCGCTTTGTGCTGGTATCTGTGTTAGACGATATTTCTATCTCATTAAAAATGAGAAAACTTCATGTGTTTTCGGCCCTTATTTTTCTCTAACTAAAACAAGATCAAGCGCAAAGTTAGACCCCGACTTAAGCACCTTTCAACCAATTACTGTTATCTAAGAACAGCAGTTCCATTCTCCTTTATCATCACATATAATAGCGCCCTCAGACTCCAACTATTAGCGAGGATATTATAGAACACTATGTAAAACAAATTATTCGTGTAAATACGTATATGAATGTGGTTAAGTTTACTTGATAAATTATGAAATAAGATACTACCAACATTAAACAAAGTTATAATAAAGTATTCTGCATACTACAATGCATTATACGAGGGCCATCCAGGAAGTAGATTACGTTTCCGTCTGTGTCCGCTAGGGGCGGGGCTAGCGCGGCCATCTTGGGGTCAGAGCGTTGCGCAGCTCAGTCTGCATCTAGCCGTGCTAGTGAGAGGTTCGTGCTGTGCTCCGTTCAGATACTGTGACGGTTTGAAATGTCTGCGTTAATTGAAAATCCCGCGAGCTGCGAGGTGCGCTCAGTAATAAGGTTTCTGACTGCAAAAAACTGTAAACCGATAGAAATCTATCGGCAGCTTCGTGAAGTGTATGGGGACAACATTATCACTGAAGGTGGAGTGCGTCAGTGGGTCATAAGATTTCAAAATGGCCGAACCAATGTTCACGACGAAGATCGAAGTGGGAGACCCAGCATAGTGACCGCCGAACTTCTCGAAAAAAGTCGATGCTAAAGTCCGTGAAAATCGAAATTTCACAATAACGGAACTTTCTTTGAGTTTTTCCACAAATTTCGCGAAGTTTGTTGCACGAAATCATCAGCGAAAAGCTTGGTTACCACAAGTTTTTTGTGCAAGATGGATTCCAAAAATCTTGACAGAGGACCACAAAAATCAGCGAATGGCTGCAGCGTTGAACTTTTTGGACGCTTACCATAAGGATGGTGACTCTTTACTCGATCGCATCGTTACTGGTGACGAAACATGGGTGAAACATGTGAACTGTGAAACGAAATTGCAATCAATGCAGTGGGGGCACACAAGTTCTCCCCAAAAACCCAAGAAATGCATGCAAACAATGTCGGCAAGGAAGATGATGGCGACTGTTTTTTGGGACAGAAAAGGTGTAATTTTGGTGGACTTCCTGGAAAGAGGCACTACAATAAACTCTCAAAGGTATTGCCAAACTCTCCAAAAACTCAGAAGAGCAATTCAAAACAAGCGCAGAGGAATGTTGAGCTCTAAGATCTTGTTGATTCCCACACGGCAAATGTCACTCGTAAAGTTCTTGAATCTTTTAAGTGGGAGTTGTTTCCTCATCCGCCGTACAGTCCCGACCTGGCACCGAGCGACTTCCACCTATTCCCAGCAATGAAGAAGTGGCTGGCTATGCAGCGTTTTGATGACGACGCACAGCTGCAAGAAGAGGTAACGAAGTGGTTGAAGGCGCAGGCGGCCGAATTTTTTCGACGAAGGAATTTCCAAGCCAAGCTCGTACATCGCTACGATAAATGCCTTAATTTGTATGGTGACTATGTAGAAAAGTAGTATTTGAGTGTGGCTTTCATCTGTATATAATAAAATTTGTTTCCTATACTTTGCTTATTTTTTTATTCCAAAACGTAATCTACTTTCTGGATAGCCCTCGTATAAGCATACCAATGTCGGCGCCACAGAGCCAGTGCAGTCGAACCGAGCGGAAAAATTTTTAGAATTTTGAAAAGCAACGTGCGACAAAATTTAAATACAGAAAAAATTTTTAAAACTTAGAGAAGGCACTGGGTGAATGAATTTAGAAGGGCAAAATTTTTAGAATTTAAGGAGCTACCAGGCAGCATAATTTAGAACCCACAAAGATATTACACGGCGACAAAATTCTTAGCGCTGTCCCTGAAGCGTACTATTCAATAAAGTACTATAAAATACATTATACGCTAGAATATATACTTTCTCTTACCTATAAAAGAAAGGGATTGGAACATTTTACTTCATAAGGTATTTTCTCTCTCCTCACCACGTGCCTTCGTGGTGTAAATGGAAGGCACATCCGTTTAGTTACTGGAAGGTCTTGAGTTCCCGTCCTAGCAAGTGCATTCTTTGCTCAGATAAAAAAAAAACCTAATACACAATACAGATTTAATCCGCAAAAGATGAGTAAATAATGCGGTTCTTGTGCTGTACAACATAACACACTTCAAAAGATGATAAAAATATGAATTATTCATTTTTTTTTTAACTGACAGCGCACTAGTAGTTTGTAGCATCACTACATTTATACTCTGGAGCTTTTATTGAGACAAGAGTACGAACTTTAAAAGCAAGAGAGTTGTGATAACACGTTACCAGGATAAGAAGTAGAAACAACAGTAGGAAAAAAAAATAGTACGGATACCGAAGCAAAGATAAGTAGTCTGACACTGGTAACTGAAATTACCTATTAACATATTAATGACTATTAAGAAGGGGTGTAAGCTCAGAGGTTTGAGGTGTTTCCTGTAACCAAAAAATGCACATAAGTTTCCAAAGGACCATTTTCATTTCCTGCATTTAATTACACTGGCACGAAACGATGATGAGGACACGTAAGAAGAAAGCACTTGGTAACGTTTGAGCAGTTGCATTTGGGCTACGTTATGCACTGTCACTTCGCTGGCATTTCGAAATTTACAGAATCCTCCCCCCGTTAATCTGAACCGCGGATACACAGGCACAACTGTAAATCTTCATACTACCATGCATATATCTTCTGAGAATCTTTTTCTTATTAAGATTTAACACATGTGAATAAAGATCCAATAGAAAGCAAGCCAGACTTGAGGTTAATGAGAAATTTCCAGTTATTTTAACAAGAATAACAGGAAATCCTTTCAAATTAGAATAATTCACCACTTAATTGCCACATGAGAGCAATTAAAAAGAGTATCAGCTTTAAAAATTTATGTCAAAAATTAAAAAAATATCTAGATTTTTGTGTTAACTCGATGCAACGCTGTGAGAAAAAAAGGCACTTTGATGAGAGCTTAGTTACATCAGAAATTTTATTATTTAAAAAATTGAACAAAATAGGTTTTCCAACTTAATTTGCTTACCAGCCTCAAATTCTTTACCAAAAGAATATTTTGAAAATACATAACATTTTCATTTCCACTGCATAAAAAGCATTTAGAAGAGAGCAGAAAAATTAACTTGTCTTGCATTGAATTTCTTACACCGGATTCACAAAAAAATAATATATACATCATATGTGTAAGTACACGATGTATAAGTTACTAAGCAAAGAACAGCAGTGAAGCAGTTGGAGTTCATGTAAGGCATATAACTACCATAAATTTTGCTTCAAAACCCGAACAAATTTTTTCCTATCTAGTTCATGTTATAAAGAGGAAGGCGAAGCACCTCGTATAAACTACACTATACCTGAGTTTTTCGCCAAGCCACTTCGGAGACAGAAACCGAAGAGACCCATTACTCGACCCTCACTGCCCCCCTTCAGATGCTGCCGATGATAAAAAGGATCGATTCGCAATATCGGCAGTGTGGTTAAAGGCATTATTGGAATGGAGCATTCGAAAGGAAAGGAGATAGCAAAAGGCGGGGGGAAGTACGAGGACATTAAAGGTACTTCCGCCTGAAAGCACGCAACCTCGGAAAACGAGACCTTATCACAGATAGCGATAATGAACACCCATTTCTCAGCTTGCTTTTGAGGAGAGATTAGAGACCCCACAAGTACCGGTACACATTCTCGCTCCCTTTGTCGGGCATATCTGCTTTAAAATACTGTAGTTAGCAAATATTCAAGATGATATGAGCAGTCGGAAGCCTTTAAAGAGTAAAGGTGCTTCTTGAAAAACTTTGATAACCCCTCAATTGCCAAACATAGAATAAAAAGAGTTTGAGCAGATGCCGCTTAATTTATTTAAAAGGAATTGCTCCATAACACTTTTAATTGCATGGAAAATTAAATACTAACGGCAACAAACTGTAATAACTCATTAACTTGTAAAAAAGTGTGAAATGGTGAGCACCATTTCTAATAATTTTACATGCGAAACGATTACTAAGGCATAATATCATTTTAAAGATGTAAAACAGAAAGGAACCATCGAGACACTAAATTGGTTTTTGAAAATTACAGATATCTTAATAAAAATGCATAGAAGTTTTAATACTAACATGACATGAGTATGTAAAATGATTTATTTTTACGCTTTTCAGAACGAAATCAGCCTAAATATTAACTAACGTTTAAAAATATTTTTATTATAAATAGTTTTTACTAATTATGCTCCTTTTATTAAAGAGCATTGCATACTTCGTTCGAGTCAGTATATTTAAGTTAAATATTTACACTAATCTCTGCACTTTAAATAAAATCATAATCACATTTTAAATAAAATTGCTGCTACAACTCTTTTATCACTAAATACGGGTTACTAAAGAAATTAGGGTCATTTCGCTATTTGCTGCAACTCGTATTATTGGCTTCAATGCGATCATTATTGAAGCAAAATCTTTTCATAATTTCTAAACAATATTTTCCTTCAATAATCTTAACTATGCATATACTTTTTTTTGCCCGGGAAGGGCGGCACATTGATTCCAAAAACCGATGGGCCTAGTTTCGAATCTCGGAGAAGGTATGGATGCTTGTAAATGCATAGTGTTTCTGCAGCATGGAGGCACTGAAAATATGGGCCAAGCGAAAGTCCTCTTCAGTGGTTTTTGGTGGCAGGGAAAGAGAGGCGAGAATCCATCTGTCCCGCCTCCCGTGGTGCTTTCCTTCAAAATTGAGGCGGAAGACTTTGGTGCAATTTCACGTAAAATCAGGCGCCTGGGCGTAAGCCTCATCGAGTGTAGAACAGCGTAGCGCAGAGCATAATTTTTCTGTATGGCAGTAACGTGATGAGTTCTTAAATGAGAATAAATTTTCTCGGTGGTGCTTAGATAAGTCTTCAGCATCTACATCTCAGAGTTACTCCGATAAGCAACGTCGTAGGTGTAATGGCAATGAAAACGTGCTACTGTTCCAAGCAATTATAGCATAGATGCAAGGTGCGGAATTGAGGCGGAACTGAGCAAAGTAGTACCGTCAGTTATATGGTGCTAAAGGCTTATGCCAACGACTGCTGCATTCCTTGTCAGGATAAAATTCGTGAGCTTGGTCTGATTAGGCCATACCACTGATATTCAATTTAATTTATAGGACGCCTGCGAAAGATCACCAGGTTATAAGTGACAGGAAGTTACCCGAATTGATCATCACTCTCCATAGGACTTTTAAAGATTTAAAAAGTACTTACTTAATGACTTTAAAATTTATCTACGATGTTTCTAGATCTCCTTTTGAATATCAATAAATATGGAACTCTTTAAAGTACATATACCACTCTTACATTTTTTCAATAATGCTCTTTTGCATTATTGAAAAAAATGTAATAAAGTTACTAAGAGGGAAAAACTCGAGACTTTAAAAGAAACGGAATTTTTAATTTAAGTAAAAATCAAAAACATTTGCAGCCATGAGATATAGTTGGAAATATAAATGTATTTCTTTTAGACAAATAGAGAAAAGATTCCGAAAGGACGCTATGTAGACAGATTTCGCACAATGCTTTAACGAATAAAATGGAGAGCTCAGCATTACACATTTTATTACGCATTGGATGCAAAAATATATTTCGAATCATGCGTAGAGAAGGAAAAATAAATAATCTTGAAATTACGATTTTAAAGTTACGTTGTGGGTTATCTTAAAGTACAGTAATCAACGAAGAAGAACTAAGAAACTTCCAAGAAATCAAACATATTGCAAAAAGCCGAATTAGCAGCAATTCCCCCCCCCATTTTAGCAATAATTCATCTCCGCACTATAAACAACAAATTAAAGCAATTAGATCAGCTAAAAAACGCAATCAGCAATGTGGTGGGGTAAAAAAGTTACAGCATAAGCATACCAGCTGAGTAACTTATCAGCAATTAATTAGTAACATTTAAAGAATGAGACACATTTTTGTCTTATTGCCCTGTAGTATCTATCACCTAACATGTGTTCAGAGCTAAAAATCCATGAAAGAGACATTTTTAAAGAGTGTGGGGGTGAACTGACGTGCGTGATGAAAAGATTGTGATACAGCGTTATTCGATACGCTTACCTGACAACAGACCAGGATGTCAATTACAGGGGAACAGGAAATTTATTTTGTTCCGCCAATATTATATGAGCGGTTAGGCATTATCCAGAGAGGCATCCATTTCCTTTCTGCCCAACTCTATTACCTATCCGCACAGCAGAATTTATTAGAAATTAGGATAACGAATAAGAGTAGGACTCGTATGAGGAAATGGAGCAGAGAACGCTTTCCGGAATACTGAAACTAGACTGTTTGGCCAAATACTCGGAAAGGGTATAGCCTCATTTTTTCTAAAAATGGGCAGTATATCACATCTGGTGATCATCTCATAAAAAATTTCACAGTTTACAAATAGCATAGGCACAGTCTGAGTACGATGCTCGAAATGTGAAGAGCAAAGAACATATCTAGAACTAATTCAACTTTATTAAAATAAATGGAGGACCGAGGGAGAAATGCTAATGAAATGTAATACCAGGCCAGAAAAAATTTTGCACACCAACACGGTCAGTATTTTAAGGGCTCAGGAATGCGGCATATGACATAACGCTATATTTTTAACAATTAAAAAAAAAAAAAAAAAAAAAAAAAAAAAAGCGGGAGGGATCAAAATGTCTTTCTTGTAAAAATGCGATCCGTAATAGGAATTACTTACAAGCGTACTTTACTGTACGGATATTGCATGCACACTATTTCGTAGTGGAGAAAAATAATGGCAATTATATCATTTCTAATCGCTTTAAATTGCAGCATAAATCTTTCACGTATGTATGGAAAAAAAAAAAAAAAAAAAGAAAAGAAAAGAGTCTCAGCAACCCAGTATTAAAACTAATCGCATACACCCAC